ATTATTTAGGGGGATATGAGAACTGCATCGTCAGTTTATCTAGTTTTTATTCAGGCACAGATGCAATTTTCATATCCCTAGCTTTAAAACAATCATCAAGAAAGTCAGTTGTGCATTTTGCGATATCAAAATCATTACATTGCAGTATGGCAAGAAAAAATTCACTGCTAAGGAAGGGGTAAGTGTCCTCCACTGGATCAGCCATTACTGCTATATTATAGTACATGTACTGCTTTGGATAATCCAAGGACGTTTATTGATAAACGTCTTATACGTCCTTGAATAATCTAACCACTCACCATCTCTGTCTTCTTCCTCCATTTTTCTTTGACTTCTAGCACTGAGTGGCCTGGACTTTGGTGTCTTGCTTTTCTTCATCTTCTTGAAGGCTGGACTTTCTTGCGTAATCAGTCTACCTCCCACCAACCTCAGCTGTGGCACTGAGAAAATGTTGTTCTTTTCCAGACTGAGGTGACGCAGCCTAAAATTAAGAATGAAATAATTCTAATATTGTGTCAGAATTTTTCACTGTGGTGGTTAATTTATCAATATCCATATTTTGATTAAAAGGAAAAAAATTCAAGCATAGATTATATTTCTTTTTCCTTTTCTCAATTGATCATAAAAGCTATCTAAAATACATGAAATCCTATCTCACCTCCTCAGTCCAGCTAATGCAGAAAAAGTTGAAAGATCAGACAGTTTGTTGTCATCTAAAAATAATATTTCTAAAGCAGGGAATCTTTCCATTCTTTTCTCTCTGAAAATAAAGTATTAAAATGGCATTATCAGTACATGTAACAGTATAAAAGATTCTTTGAAAATTGTGTTATTGAAGTTGAATAAATAAAATAATTATGAAATAACTGATTATCTATACAATACAATACAATACAATACAATACAATACAATACAATACAATAAATTTTATTTCATGTCGGTTATGTTGTTCAGTATCAACAATTACTTTTCTAAAACAAAGAAATTGTAACAAAACAACTTTTAATAACTATACATTATAAAATTACAACAATAAAAACAACAATAATAATAAATAAATAAATGAAAGAATACTATAGCATAAAATGAATAACTTTTTAAAACTCTAAAACAAATGTTGCAAAAAAAAAAATCCAAAGTGATCATTTGCTAACAGTTTACTTATTTAAAATTAATACTTACTTTTCTGATTTAAAAGGTTGAGCTAGATCAGGTGGAAGCTCTTTAAAATTATTCCCTGTTAAATGTAGCACCCTAAGTTTTGGAATGACGCCAAGCATTAGAATATCTTCTTTGGCCAGGTTGTTATATGACAGATCAAGGACCTAAAAAGGGAAAAGTTGATTATGGAAGTGCTGGTAACTAATGAATGAATGTGAATGATACTTATAAAAGCATGTAGTATGTAGCCATGCCCAAAGGCCAGAAAAGGGGGGGGGGGGGGCATATTAGAAAATTGACTATTTTCTTTTAATCTCACAAATATCAAAACAGACAATTTACAAATTATACAAAGATGTTCCAAACATAGTCCACAAAATGTAAAAGTAGTTTTAAATACATATCAAAATATTTACCTCCATATGAGGAAAGTCCTTGCGTGTAATACGTATTCCTCTTAACCCATTAAGTGGAATCTCTAATTCACGAATAATAGGGAAACCACGGAATGCCTCTGCAATGAAAAAATTATTTATGCTAGATTTTAAAAATTAAAAGAAGAAAAATATTTTGAGTACATAATTATAAATCATTCAACATAATTTATCAAACTGTATAGGTAAGGGATTTATAGGAGAAAAAAGGCAGGGATTAATTTATCTGAAATGAAAAGAATTTCAAATTTACTAACAATCAAAAAATGAAATATATAAAAAAATTTATTATCTTACAATCCTGATATTTGAGTAATATACAAATCTATCCAAAAGATCTACCCAAGCACAAAATCTCTCTCTCTCTCTCTCTCTCTCTCTCTCTCTCTCTCTCTCTCTCTCTCTCTCTCTCTCACAGACACACACACACACACACACACTTACCGAATGGCAAGAAGTTTTCCCCTGCATTGACATAAGCCACATTGTCAAAGAGGCCCAGATCTTCCTCCTTCACCTCAGTGATTCCTTTCCCACAGATGTTCACAGAACACAGGTCTGAGGGGTCCTCTACACAGCTGTGCTTCATCTGCAGGAGAGGAATAAAATTATTATTATACTGCTGACTTTTTTCTTGGGTCATCTTGAATTAAATTTTTCCCAATGGTCTACAATCAATAGTTTTTATCAATTAAAAATTATCTTAAAGTTCTTTACTTTCTATTCAACGAAAGAGGGCCAAACCAAAAGTTAGGTATAGCTGAAAGGTTGAATATAATAATTATGGAAATGGTAAAGTATCTCCGACCAGAGTGGTAATATCTTCTTACCTTTGTCTGTATCACAATATACCATGTAATTTGACAAGACAACTCAATTTTTACCCTAAATAGCTGGACAGCTAGCTTTTTAAACAAAATTGCTAGAAAATATAATGTACTTGTTCCCATAAACCCCCCCCCCCCCCCCCCAGTGTCCTCACATGCAAAAAAAATTCTTTAAAGACAAACAGTCCCATTCCTACTGAAAGCCAGGTGATATCATAAGATTGCATGGGATACTTGAGACTGCATAGGAGTATTTGCTACTGCAGAAGCCAACCACCTTCTATTTCTGAAAAATCTGTGATACACCTCTGGGATAAAAAAAAAAAGAAAAAGAAGAAATAAACAAAAGGACAATTGCAGGTATGCAAATGAACTGACCAAGTAGAAGCCATCTAAAGTCTCTCCTTCCTCTTCATCACTGAGATTGCCCTGTAGTCTTGGAGTGCTTATTGGGGCAGCTGATTGCTTTTTCTCTTCTTTGATCTGTGAGTATGTCTTTGGCTTTGAACAAAGAACAGCCTTGAAGCGGCGACGCTGTTCTGCTCGTAATGAGACCAGCCATGCGCCTCCTCCTGAAAATGAATTTCATTTCTTTTAAATAATAATGCATGATAGCTTTGCCATTATGAAAATCCTATTTTCCATATTCTTAAATATGAAATAGAATTAAGAAAGAGCTATATAGAGCACATATCTGTATGTAATAAATTTCTGTGATATATTCACAAACAAATTAATAATAACAATAACAACAATAATAATAATATCCATCACGTTTGTTTAATATGTAATTTGAAATTTTTTAAATCATAAAATTAGGGGTTGGGGTTACATGGGTTGCTCTCTCTATAATTGATACACTGAAAATGCAAATTCAGACTTGAGTAATAGATGCCTATGCATCATCATGTTGATGCATCATCCTCTAATATATACTGGTACATGTAGGAGTATTGGAAAATGATTATTGAGGCTGCAATACCTATAAAAATACCTGGGGAATCTTTTTTTAATGCAAATATGCTTAATAAATAAGGTGACAATTTGTTGTCTCTCCAACTCAACCCCCCGTACCCCTTTAACCCCCACCCCTTCCAAATCCCCTCCTATAATTTTTCAGCAACTGAAATGTAGCATTGGTTGGTTCTCCACATTTCGCGCTATTTCCTGTGCGTAGTTTTAAACCCAGAAACGTTACGATTTTCACTCAACAAGTTTCTAGTAAAATTAAAGCAGAATACACTCTTGCCATCATTGGATAGAAGCCTGCTATATGCATTTGTTCTCATTTCTTATGTCCATGACCTTATTTACCACAATCTCGACTGAAACGACAATATTTGTACGTTCTCTGAACAGTATACGCAGTATCAAACTATGCAGTTTCAATTTTGTGAGATTGAAATGTACACTGACCTTCCTCAGATTGTTTGAATATACTTCTGACAGGAAAGCAATTGCCAGGAACTCCAACACCCCCATCGTCATATTTCACTCCTGGTATCGCCATTTTGAAACATCACCCTGGAGACGAATGTTACCGGAAATAGACGATCTTTTTATTTCATAATTATAGAGTACAAATGCTTATATTCTCAATGTGCTAAATCTTATAATCGATTTTGAAAGCAAAACGCCACTTAAGGCAGGTTAATTTATAATTAAATCTAAAATAAAACATAAATAATATACATCCGAGTGAATTCTCGCATGTCTCGCGAGATTTCATTTACACTTCCGGTACGTATGTTTTGCTGCAGTTTCAGAATGTAAGGTTATAACAAAGTTACAAGTGAGATAAACTTGATTGATTGACTTTAAATGCTAAGAATTTTGTTTAAATGTAACGTTGAGCAAGTATATTCCATACAGGTTCCATGATAAAGATCTGTTTATGTTTAGGCATGTTTTAGTAGAAATTAGAATAGGTCACACTTCTGATTAAGAGGGAATTTAAGACAGTCGGATATACCTAAAGTAAAACTTCTAACCTTTTACTTTTTTATCTTCCGAAAACAGTAACTGTCTGTTTCTGAGAAAAAAGACCTGCTCCACATCAACACGAATCATTGCTCAACCCGTCCCTGCATTTTAATGTAATCTTTACCCCTTTTTTTTATATTACAGATACTCTGCAAACAAGAGCAAAAGAGATGGTAAGGGAAAGCTCAGATTCAGAGTCTGATTCAAGGTCAGATTCTGAATCAAGCAGTTCAAGTTCACAGAGTCCAAGAGACAGAAGGAATGGGAAAACTGACCAAAGGCATAGTTCAAGAAGTAGATCTAGAGAAAGACACTACAGGTCCAATTCCAGAGAAAAGAATCGCAAGTATGATTCCCCTGACCAAAAGAAACTCCGTAGTACTTCAAGATCTCCTGTTAGGAGAAAAAGGTCATTGTCTAAGTCCCCTGTGCGTAAGAGACGGTCAATGTCAAGGTCTCCTAAAAGAAGGAGGTCAAGGACACCAGTAAAAAGGAAATATTCTAGATCAAGATCACCCAGAAACAGAAAAAAATCTGGATCAAGATCACCAGTGAGGAAGAGACAGTCAAGGTCACCAGTGAGAAAGAGCAATTATAGATCACCCGTGAGCAAGAGTCAATCAAGATCACCAGTGAGCAAGAGACGCTCAAGATCACCAGTGAGCAAGAGACGCTCAAGATCACCAGTGAGCAAGAGACGCTCAAGATCACCAGTAAGCAAGAGACATTCAAGATCACCAGTGAGCAAGAGACGCTCAAGATCACCAGCGAGCAAGAGACGCTCAAGATCACCAGTGAACAAGAGACCTTCAAGATCACCAGTGAGCAAAAGAAGATCCCCAGTAAACAAGAGACGTTCAAGATCACCAATTAGCAAAAGACGCTCAAGATCACCAATGAACAAGAGGCGATCGAGATCACCAAAGAGCAAAAGAAGGTCAAGATCCCCAGTGAGCAAGAATCAGTCAAGATCACCAGTGAGCAAGAGACGATCAAGATCTAGCTCACCTATGAAAAGGAAGAAATCTATGTCAAGGTCTCCAGTTAACAATAGACTAATGAACATTGCCATGAATTCAGAGAGGTCAAGATCCCCTGGACCTACTAAACAGGAAAGGTAAGATTATTTTAATGGTTAAATGAATGAAAAAAAAAATTTTTTTTTTAGATGTGTGCCTTTATTATATTTAATGGGTCATATATATAGAAAAACAGAAAACTGGAAATATTCAGTATAGGATTTATTTGAAAATGTGAGTTTCTACTTTGAGGTAATGACTAATTGAAATTTTAGGCCATATGTTTTGAAAAAATCATAGTGAAGTTTTAGTTGATCTGCATGTAAAAGATTGTTCTTTCACATTATGAGATTTGACTGTTTGTACAAGTTATGAAGTGTGTCACTTGGTGTGTCTTTTAAAATGTTCTGCCTTGAAAGAAGACAGCAATAAAAAAATTCTAGAAAAGAAAACAAGTTTTATATCTGTAAGAAATAAAATCAAGCATACTTCTTTTTATTCACCCAGACCTGAGAATGGATATTCTTCTGGGAATAATTTCCCACAAGACCCCAAGAAAAGTCAGTGGCACCAACATGGACACCAAAGAAGACAATTACCAGAGTCCTTGGAGTTCTTGGAAAGGTGAGAAGTATCTGGTTTTCTCTTTGGGTCACTGTGACCTTTAAAAAGTTGCTTGTGGTAGTAATATTCTTCCTGGTGATGATTTTGATAAAATTGATAAAATTTATGGTAACTAAGGTTTTTTTTTTTATTTCATTGACTTTTTAGAGTTTTTTCAATCAAACAGATGGTTATTATATGAAATAATTTCAAAGAAGAAAAATTTTAATTGGAAAATTTATATAATTATTTTTGAATTACTCAGTTCATCTAGCTTTTTATTTAGTTCTGATATAGAGCATGATAGCTGAAAACCACCATCAGAGATGAACCCTACACTTAATATTTTATCAGTCCCAAGTCTTCGGGCCAGTTAAGGTTAAAGTTGAATATCATGATTAAGAGCGTTTAATTATATTCATGTCTCCCAAGATTAAAGGTTTCGTCCTGTTGAAACAAAAATCATCTTAAAATATAATGGAACAAAGACATTCATGTGTGTTGAAATTTGACCTGTTTTAGCATGCTCTTTATTTTGAATACTCCATAAACTTTTATTTTCCACATCACAGGAGAAGGCGTGAAAGAGAAAAGATCGGAGAAGTGGGCACATTAGAGGTGTGGGGGAGATCTCCGTCACCAGACCACGTGGACCATGTTTGGCTGGCAGCAGAGACTGATAATAAAAAGGGAAATTCTGAATCTGAATCTGAAACAGAGTCATCGGAGGAGGAGAAAAAGAAGAAGAAAAAGAGAAAAAAGGATAAAAAGAACAAGAAGCACAAAAAGAAAAGGTACGAAGATTAAATTGGGATGATAAATGAATTAAAAAAATTTTTTTAATGGGGTTTTCAAGATTGATCTTATTTAAAAAAAACAATCAATTAAAATTGAATCAATTAAAAGGTTGATTATTTTTGCATTAAATTTCAAATTCTGTATAAAAACTAATTGAACAATAGAAATGTTAATATATTGAGATTACTAATTCTGTATAGCAATTGAAAATTGTGGAACAAAGGAAAATAACTATAGAGGAGTCACATTGAGCATATTTATATAGAAAATTGTTTGTTTGCCTTAATAACCCTTTCAACTTTTCTTACTAGTAAAAAATCTAAGAAAGCTAAAAAGACCAGAACCAAAAAGAAGAAAAAGAAGAAGGAGGAGACTGAGTCAGAATCTGAGGACAGTGACACTGATATGGAAGAGTGGGTGGAGAAGAAAAGTAAGAAAGTCAACAGTTTTCCTTTATGTTAAGTTCAGGTTCATTTAGGCAAGTCATCTGTTACTAGTAATGAGAACATCCAGAAAATGCAAAAACAAAATGATTGATGTAAGCACAGTTTTAATGGTTTAAAATTTTAATTTCTCACTATTGCTTGTTTCACTGATTCAGAACCTAACTACAAAAATTTATCTTTAAACTTTGATATGTCAAACCCTTCAGGCATCTCGGAAGTTACTGGTCTAAGCTTTAAAATGTGCTAACTGCAAGTGATATTGTTGTGCATGTATTGTTGTACATATTTTGAGTCTGTGTTGTGTTTTAGTTGGCTCTGGTAAGAAGAAACCAGAAGAAGAAGATGTGGTTGGGCCCATCTTGGATGGAGGGGACGGGTCGGGACAGGCTAAATTAGAGTAAGTTGGGGAGCTAAAGTATTAATTTGAATTTTGTTTATTTTATTTTATTTTTTTTTTAAACTAAAAGTATGTTTGGGTAAAGAAAAGCATTGTCAGTCAGAGAGAGTTGGACTTGCGTGAAGGTAAACAAATTTTCTCACTCTCATTTAAGGTTGGGACAATATATATGTACTGACCAAAAACATATGCCCCTCACAATACTAATTAGAAATTTTATCAGCATTGTGGGTTATGTAATTATATATTAAATCGTACCAAGTGAATTTTGTTATGTGCTGCAGATTACTGTAAAATTATAAGACTAGATAAGATCATTTGTAATCGTCCATTTCATGTTACATAATTCACATAGGGTGTTTATATTTTTGCTCTGTATATGATTGCCTTTGTTTGATAGCTCTAAATTGATTAAATTTATGCTCATCATTGCAAAGCATTAAATATTAAAAGTACATCATAAAACAGAAAAGAATTGTATTGTGGATGATCCATTTGATAAAGTCCTGATCTAAAAATATTCAGTAAGTTAAGTTAAACATACTTGAGTTGTGTTCATGCATTTCTTAGATCCCAGTTTTTACTGTTACCCTTCAACTCATTAAAAACCATTTTATGTAATCATTTCAGTTTTGGCCGAGCTCTTTTGCCAGGAGAGGGCGCTGCCATGGCAGCTTACATAGCAGAAGGCAAGAGGATCCCAAGAAGAGGTGAAATTGGTCTGACTCCAGACGAGATTGACAAGTTTGAAGATTCTGGATATGTCATGAGTGGGAGCAGGTATGGTTGCAGTTGATTGAGCCAATAATAAGGAAACTGATTGTTATAAGAATTATAATTACAATAATTATTACTATTATTGAATATAACACAACCCAGAGAGGTGTACATACCTTGCATGAATACAAGTAGGTGTCACGTAATGAGGGGTGTCTTTAATGTGTACCAAGGTGGATTATGAAAAATGACCCCAGGCATTGTTGTAATTTACTTTCATGCTTGACATGCAGCTATTGAAGATAACATCACATCTATATCTTTTGTTCTTGCCATTGGAAATGTTACAAGGTTTGCTATTACAATCATTTTTAGCATGGCTTTGATTAACCAGCAGATGTTCCTTCTTATGGTAAATAGAAATACAATAGACAGCCCCCAATACCTTGTTTTAAGCTGTGCAGTTTTCACCAATTTTCCATAAAAATAATAATTATTACTCTTATACTTGCATTTCAGGCATCGTCGTATGGAAGCCGTCCGTCTCCGTAAGGAAAACCAGATATACAGCGCAGATGAAAAGCGTGCCCTGGCCAACTTTAACCATGCAGAGCGATCCAAGCGTGAAGGAAGAATACTGTCACAATTCAAAGAACTGGTCAAGAAGAAGACAAGCTGATAGAACTGAACAACATGGACTAAGTTAATATTCGTTCAGGACCAAATACGTTGTTAAAGCTGATGTATATATATTCTGGACTAATTCCTGATGTTGAGAATTGCAACTAATAAAATTGTGGTTTTATGGCTTCTGTTTTGGGATAAATAAGAGCATTATGTAAGATAGTTTCCTCGACACATCAGTCGGATAAAAACTTATTCACCAAGGATTGACTGTTTCAATAAAGTTGAGCTAAAATAATAAAGTAATAAAAATAATAATTATATTGTTGTTACACTATTCCAGCTTGTTAGCATTGCCAGCTTTTGACAGTTTTACAAATAAATTTCTCATACATATAAATCTCACTTTCTAAAATCTATTATACAACTAATCTAAAATCTATTACTGGTGCGGCTACTTTTAGATTTAGCAAGTTGGAAATGTAATATTTTTTAAAATAAAACTTAAAAAAAAAAAACTTTAGTAGTGGAAAATTTAGACTTGCTTAAGAATAAATTCCGTTTGTGTTGGGGGAGAAGGTGGGCAAAGCAACTTAAAAAGAAGATTTTTAGTATGATAAGGTCACTTTTTTTGCAAATAAAAGTGATAATATGAAACAAAATCTAGTAAAGAACATTTGGGACATTTTATAGGTCTTAATTCACAATAGTACATTACTGAAATTTTTAAAAAGAGCAGTAAAACAGCACGGCATAAGTAAATGCTTGTAAGTGTGTTTATTACATTCAGACGATCTCAATTTTTGAAAACTATACACTGCTTAATAAATATTAAACAATAATATATCCAAAGTCCTGCTGTGTGCTTGCTACAGATTGGCAATAAAAGCCTGTAAGACTGTTCATTTAAGAAATAAATACAGACTTTTGTTCTAAGTTCTATTTGCTGCAGTAAAGACCCGTGGGCTGTCACCTTTACACAAGAAAGTTATTGCTTGCATAAGAAGACTATACAAAAATACCAAGGCTTAATTTGGTAAATTTTGAATCAAAATTAAAAAGCACTGTTCAGTTGCTCATCAAGCTGTCAATGTGAAAAAGACCACAGACACAGCAGAGCTTACAATACTTTTGTAACTAAATCCAGAGTATACAAAAGAGAAGTTGTTATTAATAAATCCACATGGATAGGCAAATTTACATCAGCCTAATAATCTACAATACTTAACAAGTACCTTGAACACCATGTAACTATTTAAATATGCACAACAACTGAAAGTAACTGGCTTCATACAGTGTTTTTTAACATTTTAAAAACTGTCTATAAAACTGTCTATTACTGATGGCATCCTGTGAGTAAAGCCCCCATCATACACTTATGTCATGGTATTTACAAGTTTGTAATGACAACAACAGGGATGGAACTGCCATTCAGTGAAAAACTTCAAAAGTCTGAAAATGTGGCTTGAGATCCAGGGGGCCCTCTGCATCGACCTCTAAAATGATATTTTTGGCTCCCAAGAAGTTGGAAATCCACTGATAGATGGAAAAATCTCATTACAGCAACATATCAACAAGAGACAAAATTTGGAAAAACATTTCAAGACATATTATTCCATTATCAAACAAACAAATTGATGACAACATAACCTCCTCAGTTGAGGGAAGCTTTTATTGTCCCTTCTAGCACAGACTGGCACTGTTATTTACTGTGATTACATCTTTCTGGTCTTCAGTTCATCACAGCATGCTGGAATCTACGTCTAGGAAATAAATCAAGAAGTATTTGGGTTAAAAAATTGCAAAGATATTAGATTTTCATCGTGGTAAACTGCCCTTATGTTTTTCATGTAAATCTTGATAGAGGTTTGGCCAGGTAATCAGAGAACATGGTTGAATGATATGGTTCATCACACGACATACTGTACATGTTTTGGTGCACTATAGAAAGTTATAATATTTGACATCATATGGATTTATAAACAAAAATGGGTAATCCACTAAGGCAATACTCACCTGAATCAAAATCTAGTTTCCTGGGATGAGGGTCCCCAATTCCCTCTATATCAACATCACCCTCGGGTGCATTTAGTGCACTCAATGTTACCTCTGAAATTATTGACCAAGCGTGAGATGTGAAATGTTAGATTTATCATTTATCATCATTGTCTCTTGTGTAATGATGGTAAAAAAATGAATCAAATGTAACTGAAGCTGAGGCTTGATGAGTCAAGATAAAGGCATTTTGGTGGAGGGTCAAAAAGTCTTGCTTCATATCTTTAAATAAACTTGCTTTAGAAACGTTTTTTTATCTTATTTTATTTTATTTTATTTTTATTTTTTTTAAAGAAAATGTGTAATAAAATCTCCAAGAGTTTCTCACCAGCTGTCTTCTGTTTCTTTGCTTGAGGCTCTCCTCTTCCGGAAGCTTGCTGCTTCTGTGTAGTTTTCTTTGGAGATTTCTCTTCTGCAGGGACTGGCAGTCCAGCATCTTCATAAGCTTTCTTACGAAGCTGAGCTTTTATTTGAGAACTGTAAAATATCAATATTTTTCTTTGAGAACTGTAAAATATCAATATTTTTCTATTTATTATCTACCTACGTTCTCAGAGAACCAATTAAGCTTTTTTTCTGAGAACTGCAAAATATCAATATCTATTCAATACTGCTGATCTTTTTTTTTTTTTTTTGTTGAGAATTACAAAAAATTTATTTACTTTCTTGTTGAGCTAAGTTCTTATCTCATAAGTGGCATATAATGCAAAACATAAATCTCTACTAATTCATTTCAGTAACAGAAGATGTTTATAATGACTATGACTCAACAGGTATAAATATACAATGCACAATATATTTTGAAAAAAAATCTTCAAGATAAGTAGTTTTTATGTACAATACATATGATAATTATTTCAAGTTGATTCCCCCACATAATTATCAAAATAAAAATCAAACTGATGCGATTCTTACACTGTTCTTGACTTAATGACATCGCTGATTTTGTCCAGGTCTTCACCAAATCTTTTCACTGTTTTCCTCAGCATTTCAATCTCTGCATCTGTCCATTTGCCACTATGCAATTAAAAATGAAAATCTGATGATTAGGATAATTACACAAAAAACATGATATCATTCTCAACCTTCAGAGTTTTAAGAATCACTGCATATTGAAAAAAATGCAACACCCCCTCCCCCTCTTAAAACTCTGCCTTTTACAAATCATCCAGTAGATGTTTCTGCAACAGGATGCAGTTTTATGGCCAGTTTAAATCTCTTGCCCCCCCCCCCCTTCCGCACACACAAACACACACACACAAACCTGCTTGGAGTAGGTTCTGCTGCAGGATGCAATTGCATGGTCAGCTCACCAAGCCTGTTAAAAGCTGCCCCAGCAGCTATGAAGATCTCCCCAACCTGTAATAGATAAATAAATTTAAACAAGTATTGGTTAAAATAAATCCACTATCGATTTGAATTATAAACACAACACAGCACAGACATTGTGCACCGAGTTGTACGATTTGTTCTCAAATTTTGCCATTCAGCGATATGTCAAAAAATCGTACCTTGCTTGCGGAGCTCATCCTCTCACCATGCGTTTACCAATGCAATAAAAAAGATGTTCTATTTCTCTTTTTATTTACATGTTATTGCTTTGCGACTGATGAGCATGTCACTGTTTCGCGGCTTAGCGGAAGTTGTGCCGGTGTCGGATGCGAGGCTCTTAGTCTCCAAACTACAGTATGAAATAAATCGTCAAAATGCTCGCAATTCAAAGTTATATAAATCATATACACCAAATGCAATATTTGTGCATAATTTTTATACTCAGACAGCACATATTATTTGAATATACCGTATAAAAGATAAATGATATATAGTGTATATTAGCAAATGTCACAAGACTACCAAGAGATTATCGTACTCACAATCACATGACTTCAAGATGGAGGACCAGGAAAAGAAGCCGCTGTTGGGAGACAGAGACAATGGACCAGTTGTCGCAGTTCCAGAAGACGATGTTGTCCTCGAAGGCTGTGGTGGAACGTTGGCATGCGATCCTAGAAGGGCACTTCACAAATACCTTATACTTATCATTATGTGCTTCCTTAGCTTTGGTAAGAAATGCGTTATTTTATCGTCTGCATCCATGATCCACAAATAAAATGAACGTGGGGGAGTTTCAATATTTCGGATCGTTGATGTTTACCCACTTTTTATTGACATTAGCTTATATTTTTTGGAGTTGGTGGTTATAATTTCGTGATACAGGCCAAGAAACTCCAGTTTTCCATAACTGTGGAACCAGGGTTTTTATATTAAGGCGGAGATGGAAGGATGGTGTGTGTGAGAGAGATCGAGAGTTGTGGGTGGGGGTGTTGGTGCTACTGCTAAGAAAAACTGAGTTTAAAGGGGCATGGGGAGGAAGAATTCTGTTTGCTTAGTCCGCTGTCAAAAACATATGAAGGGAAACCAAGGGTGGGGGCGCAGTGGCACATACATGTACTGTATAGGAGGATTTATATGGGATCAGTCACTGTTACCAGATATAGTTCATTCTGGTTATCTGAATAACATTATGATGATGTAGACTATTGTAGATGAATCTCAGATGTCTGATATTAAGTGCAAACCCACAAAATATGTTTGATAAATGTCCCATTTAAGTTCGAAATGTGTCATTGTAGTTTGTTTTTTAACACTCTTTGTAAATACTGTACTTGTACAGGTGGTTGCCATTACTTTTATGGATCTTTGGTATTTTCAGGGAGTTATTTCTGCTATGACAACCCAGCTGCCTTGCAGGACACTATGCTCAAAGACCTGAACATCAATGAGTCCATTTACATGTTGTTCTATTCCCTGTACTCCTGGCCCAATGTGATTTTGTGTTTCTTTGGAGGTTTTCTGATTGACCGTGTCTTTGGTATTAGACTCGGGGCAATTATTTTCAGTTTGTTTGTCACTGCTGGTCAGGTAGGTTGCTGATTATATAGATTTGTGTATTTCTTTTTTATGATATTTATTTTAAGATATTTATTTATTTATTTACTCAATAATTGTCTGATACTCTTGGCCATGACTGAATATTTTTTTAAAAAAGTGTAAAAATGTACAATTTTATCACCCATCATTTAGAATTAACTAGTATAAGTCAGTCTAGCAAAAAGTCCTATGGTTTGGCAAACTCTTTATAACTGCCTGTCCAATTATCCAGCTGTATTTTGAATTTTTCAGCACCATGTTTGCAGTTTGTTTAACATCTTTCACAACACTTTGTTTTCATAGTAAAATCCATTGCATAAGTTTATGATAGTCTTTATCATGGTAAAAGATGTTTATTTTTATTGTACTAGTAAGTGGATTTCACTTATATCTACTTTTTGTATATAAAAGACACATAGTTATAGTTATTTACCTCTTTCTTTGCAGGTAGTCTTTGCATTAGGGGCATTTTTTAATCTTCCAATTGTTATGCATATTGGAAGATTCATATTTGGGTATGTGAAAGATTTTTATTTGTTTTGAATCATTTAAATTTTGTAAATAGTGAAACAAGTATTTGAATTGTTCTTAACACTAATTCTTTTTTATTTTAACATTAATTAAATCGTAAAGTGACTTTCTTTCACTTTTTAGTTAAAAAAAAAAAACAATTTGAAATTTTGAAAGAGCATTTTTTGCAACAGCCTCAACCATGTACAGTTTACCACTGATATTTACTTCTCATAAACCCTTTGAGCTCTCAAAATTGTTGGTCAAATTTTAAACAATTTTTCATCTTCAGAATTGGTGGAGAGTCTCTGTGTGTGGCCCAAAACACATATGCGGTCAGCTGGTTCAAGGACAAGGAGTTGAACATGGTATTTGGGCTGCAGCTTAGTTTCTCAAGAGTGGTAAGTGGTCAATCCAAAATATTACACAAAGAAATAAACACAGGGAAATCTGTCTGTCCAGAAAATAAAAATGGCTTACCAAAAAACAAAAAATTGGATCTTTATCAAAAATGTTATTCAATGCAAGGAAAAAGTTACAGTGTTGCAAGATGTTGCTGCAAGATGTTTACTCAACGACGATATCCATACATGACAGACTAGTACTGTTTTAACTGTCAAAACATGAATATATATTATATATATCTAAACATTTTAGGGAAGTACAGTAAACATGAATATCATGCAACCTCTATATGATGCGATGAAGAAGTCATTTCCAGATCAGCAAGGTTATGTGATTTTGGGAGGCACACTCATGATTGGTGAGTTTATTTATTTATTTATTTATTTATTTATTTATTTATTTATTTATTTATTTATTTATTTAATTTTTATTTATTGTATTGTCAGTATGATTTTCCTGATATTGTATAAAATTGTCTATTTTCAGGTGTTGGTTTCTGTATAGCTCCCTTATTTATTTATTTGTTTGTTTGTTTGTTTATTTATTTATTTATTTTGTGACAGTATGAATTGTCCAAGTATTATGTATAAAATTGTCTGTGTTATAGCTTCCTTATTTATTTATTTATTGTCAATATAATTTCCAGATCTCTATAAAATGTCTGTTTACAGGTGTGGGTTTCTGCATAGCTTCCTTGTTTTGTTCCTTTGCATTGGCATATTTTGACAAAAGATTAGAAAGAATTCTCAGGAAAGAAGAAGCAAAAACAGGTTGGTGGCATATTTTAAGCTCAGACATATCACTTTATACTCACAAATACAGAAAAATTAATATTTAAATCATGATGCTCTCTTCTGTTTTAGTTACAACAGTTACCATTTTAGTTACACATTTAAGATATAAAATGAATTTCAAAGTTATAATCTTGATATGGGCAAAAAGTGAATTTTTGGCAGTTTCAGCAGTTTGCCCTTAACCATCTATAGGTACATTCAGAACAGCAGACTAACAGATCTGCGAATCAAATAAAGCGACCCACTAAAAAACTTGCTGCTTAATTCCCAGTTAGACACTGAATCGACTCCCCAAAGGGATTACGCAACAAGCATTCAAGTGGGTTGGCCATATTTGATCCATATTCATATTTATGTGCTTATATATTGTAATACAGTGAGCCGTTGGATAGGGTATACTTGAGGGGATTTAGTGAAAAGTGCTGAAATTTTAAAGAAATTTAAAGATTCGCCATTTGTATGTCTTACATGTGTATATAAGATCTATTTTTACATTTTATGAATATCTTTTAATTTTTCATATATGAAAATATCAAATTTGTATCATATATCTTCAGATGAACTTTTCTCTCTTTAAATGTCAGATGTCATAAACTACACAGCAACCCTATCTCCTCAAGCACATGGCTGACGCATTTTTCATACATCTATCTTTAATTTAATCTTTCCAGGAGAAGTGATATCTCTTCGAGACATCAAAGACTTTCCCGCCAGCGTGTGGCTGATGTGTATTATCTGTGTGGCATATTACGTGGCTGTATTTCCTTTTATTGGGCTTGGACTGTAAGTAACGATTTTTAATGATAATACTTATTTTTATAATGAGTTCTTCTGAACTATGCTCAACATTTGTCTCTGCTCTGTGGACAAAATATAGATACAGAGATATCATCTTAAATTATTATAAGCAATACGCTCAGAATTGTAGCATACCCATTCACTTTCTAACTTACAAATTATCTTATTTTAATAATTATTAAAATTATAATGAGTAATTACATTATAGTCTTAAGACATCATCTTAAATTATTATAAGCTTACACTCAAATTTGTAGCATACCCATTTCCTATCTTACTGACAAGTTATTTTAGCAGTGATGGGTAATTACCATTTATTGTCTTAAGATTGGTACTTGGGCACATAATCATTTATGGAACAATCAGTATTAATATAAACTGTGCACTGCTAAAACATGGGTTTGATATAAATTTAACTAAATTGCTCAGGCCTGGGAAGATATAATATAGAAATTTAGATTAAGTATGTGGTCTGCATTGCCACTTGAATTGAGATTGATTAATAAAATAGCATGTCTAATAAATTCACTCTAAATGGTCAATATTATCCCTCTGTTGTCCAATAATTCACTGATTTAATTAAATTTAAAATTGAGTGAAAAGTAAAAGCACAGCAAAAGAACTGAAGAAATACACCCAGCCTTTGCTTTTACTCTTGTAATTTTTGTCTTTCAGAGTTTTCTTTGAAATGAAATTTGGACTTTCTCCAAGTGCAGCAAGTGCATGTAATAGGTATGTGCTTCTTTGTATTTTTTACTTATGTATGAGTGGTGTAGTATTTAAAATAAAATTTATAGAATATTTCCTCGAGTTGGCTCACATTGTTGATATGCTTTTACGGTTGCTGATAAGCTACTGGTAGTTTACTCTGATTAAAAATGAAAAGTATTTGGCTAAGTTTTATCTATGTTATATTTATTGAATTTTAAAAACATGACTGATATCCTTTAAACATTTCATATGGCTTATCCCGAGTTTCAAAGGCAATATTGGTTAACATCTTAATTTTCCATCTTACCTGAAATTGCAGATATTATATATCAACATGTATTTATAAAGAATGCTTTAGTTTTATGATATTTATTTTTCTTTCAGTGTTGTTTATATCATCTCAGCGGGTGCCTCCCCTCTGTTTGGTTTCTGTATAGACAAGCTAGGCAAGAATATCTTCTGGGTTATCACTGGGGTCATCATCACGTTAGCGTGCCACGCCTGTCTTGCATTTACCTGGATAAATCCTTTTGTTCCCATGGTTGGTTCCTTTATATAAGGAATTATTGTTTTATATAAAATAAGCAATTTGTTTTAATACCAATGTATGTATGTGCGCAAGTATGCAGGATTTTTTGAGTAACATGAATCATGTTATTTTATTTTTTATAATGATGGTGCTTTAATATTCTCAAAGCCACCACTCTGTTACAGTGGTGAAAATCGCATTAAAAATTCCTAAACAATGATTGAGCAATAATCTTTTTTTTTTATTTCATCAGCTGTCTTGATTAAAGTTGTACATTCAAACATAGACCGTTGTCATATTGATTTTACGATTTTAAAACATTTTTTCAGGTGATTATGGGATTTTCTTACTCCATTTTGGCCAGTGCATTGTGGCCTATTGTTGCCATGGTAGTGCCTGAACATCAGCTTGGAACAGCTTACGGGATGTAAGTTTGATGCTGGAAACTATATTAATTTGAGCACAGCATTCTATAAATCTAAAAAGAAATGAGATAATTGCAACTATTTTCCATAGCATTTGGTGTTTGTTTATTTGCACATAATTCATTGTCATTTTCTTTTATTTATATCCTAACTGTAATCTTGGATATTTTGGATATTTTTCTTTTTCATAGTTTGAAATCAAGTTGTTTTTTATCTTGTTAAATAGGAAGTGTAATATAAAGTTGTTGGACAACTTCATTGTTAGTTTATACCACCCATGCAGATAGCTCAACAGTTGCTGGTGCCAAATGTGCAAAAAAGACAGTATTCCAGACAGTTTTGAAGCAGTTTGGCCACGTTTCCTATTAATATAAAAAAATTAACACTATTCTTCCAGAGCTAGGTTATATAATTCTTGTATAATAAAAATCTTAGTTTATTTCCTTCTTATATTTTATTTGTTTATTTGCAGTATGCAAGCTGTACAAAACCTGGGTCTAGCAGTGATTTCCATGGTGTCCGGCATGATTCTGGACTCCAAAGGTTATCTGGTGTTAGAAGTGTTCTTCCTCATATGGTTGTGTGGTAAGTGTCACACCCAACACAACACAGTGTCACACCTAACACAGTGTATGGCATTGTTAACATAATGAAAGACCTAACACAGAGTTGCATCCAATGTAACACTTGACAACGTTTCACACTTAACGCTACATAAGTTTTGACACAACGTCACACCTACCAAAGTGTCATAATGAACCAATATTATAGCATTTTCTTTTTTTATGTACAGACACAGATGTGTCTGTACATATAGCCATCNCTTCATTGTTAGTTTATACCACCCATGCAGATAGCTCAACAGTTGCTGGTGCCAAATGTGCAAAAAAGACAGTATTCCAGACAGTTTTGAAGCAGTTTGGCCACGTTTCCTATTAATATAAAAAAATTAACACTATTCTTCCAGAGCTAGGTTATATAATTCTTGTATAATAAAAATCTTAGTTTATTTCCTTCTTATATTTTATTTGTTTATTTGCAGTATGCAAGCTGTACAAAACCTGGGTCTAGCAGTGATTTCCATGGTGTCCGGCATGATTCTGGACTCCAAAGGTTATCTGGTGTTAGAAGTGTTCTTCCTCATATGGTTGTGTGGTAAGTGTCACACCCAACACAACACAGTGTCACACCTAACACAGTGTATGGCATTGTTAACATAATGAAAGACCTAACACAGAGTTGCATCCAATGTAACACTTGACAACGTTTCACACTTAACGCTACATAAGTTTTGACACAACGTCACACCTACCAAAGTGTCATAATGAACCAATATTATAGCATTTTCTTTTTTTCTTTCAGTTGCCTTAATAGCATCAGTACTGTTGTACCTAGTGGATGCAGCTAAAGGTTGGTATCTTATCTCTCTCTCTCTCTCTCTCTCTCTCTCCCCCCAATTTTATCATTCTGAATATATAATAAGGGCTATTTCAGGCATAGAAGAAAGTTTTAGAAAACTGGGAAATTTGGGTTTTGTATAATTTATTGTGCCAAAAGATTTGCAAGTATGTGCATTTTAGAAGTTTCACGTGTGTTTCAATTATTATTATTTTTTTTTTATTTTTGCTATTTGTGAGATATATTATTATAATATTAGTTATTTCAAGATGTTTAAAAGAAATTGCCCTTTTAATTGTCTTTTTAATTCAGTTGTAAAACATGTTAATATTGAATTATGTACGTTTTTCACAATTTGCATGAACCTTAAATATCTTCTTTTTTTTTTTTAATATTTTCAAGGAGGACATATCAACTTATCTGGCTTCCAGAGGAGAAAAATTCAGAAGGCAAATGAAGAAGCAGATGAAAAATCCAAATAAATTAACTTGGACTGTTTTATTTACCACTAGCTAAACCAGATTTCTGATAGATGCAATGCTTACTGTAGCATTTAAAATGGCATCAAATATATTTTTGATTCAGAAACGGGTTTTCTCATTTTCTCATCATTCTCCTGAACAATGACTTGGCAAGAACTGTATAAGCTTGCTTGTTTGCGGCAGGCATGAAATTTATGTAAAGGTGGTGCTAAAGTTGAAACATTCATATCACAATTTTGATGATCTGATCTCTCCACAGGACTTACTGGTATCTAAGAAAATTATCCACGAAATCCTTTTATTTTTAAGTTGTGAATTGAGTAGTAGTCTAAGTGGGTTTTCCTGAATGGACCGGAGGAGTGTCTGAGAGATAAAGGGATACTGCTGATATGTAGATGCCTGCTTCCTAACATGGTCACATTGGGACTGAAAATTTTGTTCGTGTTGCACAAAGATTTGACTCAGACAATGAACATATAGTGTTACAAAATTTTACTTTTCAGATCCTACAATCATAGCTGTATCTTACAGAGCTTTATTTATTTATTTATTTATTTATTTATTTATTTATTTTTGTCACTCCGTGACCTTCCACAGCGTGCGTTACTATGAGACTGAGCCCTATTCACTAATGTCTCAGTAATAGTGCTGTTCTATATGATATATGTTAGACAATTGGTTCAGCCTTGGGTTTTGGGCATGGATATACATGTAGGTTGACACCCCCCAATTTTATCATTCTGAATTTATAATAAGGGCTTCTTTAGGCATAGAAGAAAGTTTCAGAAAACTGGGAAATGTGGGTTTTGTATAATTTATTATGCCAATTGGTGTTGACACCTTACCCCCCTCCCCCCCACCCCACCCCATACCATGAGGGGCCATGAAAAGATTAATCTTATAACATGATCAAAAGACTACACAGATGAATTTCCACAAGAATGTTCATATAGGTTTCAGAAAATACCAAAGAAAAACTCTGCTCCAGAAGATTCGTTTGAGATCAGGAGGCTACATCAGATATACCACGATATACCATGTGTTTAATCTCCCTGCAGCTGCAAATGATGTTGTTACTGATTTTTTTTTTTTTTTACATTAGATTGAATCAGCCATTCAGATAATTTATGTTCTGGTAGACGGCAGCTAAAACCCATTCATTACTTGTAGATGTCCAATATATTACCCAGTCATGTGCAAATTTCTGTAATATTAACATACTGAATGTAAAAATGTCTCCTGAAAATGAATTTTACTCCTATGCTGTGATGATTCAACACTTCTATAGTATTTATATTGAAGAAGATAGTAATCTAATTACCTCTGTGTCATTGAGTTTTGAAGGAATGTGATTTATTATAAAAGAAAGGACTTCCAAATCCAATATTTACAACTATTGCAGCTAAGTGCATTTTGTATTCTTTGTGTGAAAAGAAGCCTTTCTCCTTCTGCTTATTTGTAGTCGTACACCATACACAATGAAAAATAAGTTTGGCAAAGGTTTATTTAAGCTGTTTGCCAATTTGTCTTCTAGTAAAAGCATTCATGATAAAATTTAATATATAGAACTACACATATTTGTAAAGCTCATTAGACGATAAAGGCGTATCACTTAAGACAAAATTTTATGGTTGGTATGATATATTTCCATTTTGATTTTGTCATATAATTACATTCATTTCCCTTAAGTGTGGCATACCTAAAATCATTGACGATTGAGGAACCAAAAGTGGTAGAAGAAACTGCCATATTTTGACAGTTGTGTTGAATATATGAGTTTCATAGTAGGTTAAGTCAACAAAACCAAACTTTTTCTTGTTAAGATTTGTGCCAAGGAAACCATTCATTTACTTATTTTTCGTCACTATATTGATTTTGTCACCATTAATGATTTCAATATGAATTCAGTCCCTTGTAACCACAAAATATATGGGACCAAAGCCATTTTGTACATATTGCATTTTATTCAAATCAGAAACTATAGATTAAGAATATGAAAACTTATGAAATATTTAAAGATGAATAAAATAATTGAATGAAAATGCTTTATTTCTGTTTAACTGGTGCAACTGGCTCATTAATTGATTTTAAAAAATAGATGGACAATTAAACAGGATCATTGCTGATTCAGACTCGTTCCCATTTACAAAGGAGAAAAAAAGACTTCTATGACAAATAAATAGGGATGCCATAGGGATGTTCAAGGGGGGGGGGCATATTTCAGTCCGTTAATGCAACCCTATCTTGGCCTTCTTATACATCTGATTTTTACAAAATCAAAATCGTGCTGTGAGGGGGAGAGAGATCCAACCAACTACACTGGATACACTAACACTGCAGTCTCTTGTCGCAGAGTAGACTGACCTCAGCCAGAGATGCGCCAACTAACTGGTTGAGACAATACGTTCAGAATAACGTCTTTGAGTTTGTGGCAGTTACGATTTATTCGCCTAAGAGATGAACGAGATACTAACTCTGTGATGGAATTCCTCATGGAATTAAACGTATCCCTGGGTGACTAAGGCATACTGCTCCAACACGTTCTCTTGAACATAACATTTGCCTTTCCCTATAAATTGCCGATAATTTACCAAAATTTTAATATCATCAGAAAGAACCCAAACGGAGAAATAATTCCAAAATTTTACGTGAATTGAAGTTCTTATAAAGGTTCTTATAAAAAATATTGTGCTGATGGCAAAACACCTCTAGACAATAATCATATTGTATTTTCAAAAAACCTTTCACCGTGAAAAAAAAGTGAATATCTGAAACATACGTATCTGCTTTCTCTCAATTTCAATACATGAGAATCACATCAAGCTGTTCATGAAAAAAAGGGAGACATGAAACATCCCGTATGCAGATAGCTTACATGTTGCCTGCGGGCATAGAGCAGAAACCGAGTATCATTCTTGACTGGAGAGTGAATTCTTCAAACACTATAGAAAAGATATACAACGCTGTTTGCTTATTCTACATTATTCTATATATTTGTCAGCTAATATATTTCAATAAGTTTGTCTACTGATAATATGGACTTGGTGGTACCGGTAGAACTAATAAAATGTTTATACTCTGCTTTCAAATTAAGAAATTAACACCTAGATGGATTCTGTCTGTGTTAACATTTATTATTATTATTAATATTTTATTATTACGCCATGTAATTGTATACAGCAGCAGCCCTTACTATAATTTACATGCATAATAATGAGTTTGTATTCTGGGCGTTAACATTAAACACAAACACTGAATAAATACACCAATAGCCTGTAGCAGCAAATGTGTGGGAAAATCATTTGGTATTTTTAACAGAATTCAAGAATTGGATACCGTTATATTACTTAGACCATTTCGTCGCAAAATACACAAAACCTGTTCAGCACATAACGACAGAGAGTTCCCTCTCGCGAAGCGCCAAAACGCTGTGTGGTTCTATTGTAAAGGTGAACGGCAAAAGAGTGTTCGTCGATTGTTTGGCGTAGGCTTTGCAGCTCCAACGGTTCTAGTACCTCAAAGCATTTCGGCGAGTCCTCCCAAGTGAAAGGGTAAAATGATTCACGTCTTAAACAGTTGGCAGCACAGTGCCCACGTGTCGCTGTTTTCTTGACGTTATGGCCACAGACCAAATTTGGAAATCGTTCCGCTACGCGAGTAAACAGTTCCGGTCCATTTGCTGCGTAATTGATTGGATCAAAGTGACGGAGAAACTCTTCAATGCACTTCCCAATAAAACGATTCCGCGGTTGGAATTTCAAAACAGCACTGTTGAGACGCGTTTCTTCGTAATTTTCCCAAGCTATTACATTTTTCAGTGAGTCTAACCGCCGAAAAAGTATAATATCAGTATCCAAGTATACGCCACCGTATAAATAAAGCAACACTGTACGAACAATATCAGTCTCTTGAACATACCAATATTGGCCGTGTGCAAGAGAATGGATTTGCTCTAAAAATGACTTCGCGTATCCGCGAAATGTTTTCGGTTCCAGCTCCACCAGCCGATTCAATAAGTGATTCAGTGAATAATTCACTATCTTTACATCAAAACCTCTCTGGATATACTTGCCAATCCGTTCCTTTGGCATTACTGCACTGTATATACGCACTTTGTCACGTGGGTAATGGAAAAGAATGCTTTCAAGAGAGCGATGGTTGCGCGGGCTCATGAAAGGTGTTGTATATATCTGATAAAAAGTCAGCTCGGTTTGGGCTTCCGGTGATTTCTCGCATATGGGACCAGCGTAACGTTGACCGTATTGGAAAAGATGTGAATATGATTTGTAGTCCTCGCAAACGTGTGTAGCATCGAATATCTGAGCAGTCTCTGACGACGCATCTGAGAATAAATATGGATTATATAAAATTATAAATTATAACAAATAAGTGAAAACTAATGAAAAATAGGTATAGATTAAAAAAATGATTACAAGTTTAGTAGTACACTGCCCTCACAAAGGTGTCGCGGCATCCAATACATGAGAAAATAGGCGTGAGATTTGAAGTATCAGCTTTGTTTCTATTGTTTTCAGCATTGGTCTGTCCAATGTCTGGGTTTCTTTTTGTAAAAAATGCTATATCCGATTGTGCAAGATTTGATACATGTAATCCAATTGCTTAACAACATTCCTCAATACTTTGAAACGAAACAAAACGACAACTTTTTAAATAACTCTTTTCCGTGATTTTCAATTGCAAAGTCTCTGCACTCTGGAAATTTTGATACATTTTATCAAACATCCGCCATTGCGCTTGTCTTATGACGCACAAGATGAAAATGTTATATCAAATAAGCGCAAACAACTGCAATGTCGCTTTACATTTAACATACCTTTACAAAACGCTGCGCCCAAAAAGGCAAAGAACGTGGCGGAAACTAGTGCACTTTCGTATGTGGTTCGTCGCATGGCTCTATAGGGCGTCGTCTCAAAGCACTTACTGTACACCAGCAGTATGTGAACGACCGTATGACACACTCCAGTCCGAAAAGTAAACTAAAAAGATCATAAAATACAATCTTGATATATCAGCTATTTTCTAAGAAATAAAAAACATTTAAACGCAACCTGAAAAGAGGTAAAATCCAAACTGTTCGCTGCTTCTCATTAT